GTAAATCTAGAACAGGGTGAATGCACTGTCTTAAGCTTCTATGACAATCCCTGCCCCTTGGAAGCTGGTAGTGATTTACAGAATTTTGAGAATTCTCACTAATAATGCCAAGTCTGCAGGGAAGCAAATTAAATCAGTATTTTTATTTTCTCCTTTGAGTAAGAAAAAAAAGAGTGAAATAGAAAACATTAAGAAAAAAATAAAGGCCCGACTGTCTCTAACAGAAGTCTCCAGGGACACATGCACACTGAATCAGGGATCAGGGCACACGAGGGATTTCCCCCATGCAACTGTGTTGTTGCACCCCCCAATTAGGTAGATGTGCATTTAACAAAACCTCAGAATTATTCCAAAGAAATACAACAGGTTTATCTTACTAATATAGGCAAGCATTCTAAAGAGCTTATTAGCATATTCAGTCATATAAAAATGATAGTATTTATATAAAAATGAATAAGTTGGGTTTATTTAAGGAATGTCAGGGGCTGTGTGAAACATTAAAACAGTTTAAAGGGGGAAAAAATCATGATTATCTCAATAGATGCAGCATACCACCTAGACCAGTGGTTCTCAACCTTGGCTGCACATTAGAATCACCTGGAAATCTTTTGAAAATCCTGATTTCTGGGCCTCATCCTCCGGAAATTCTGTTTCTTTGTTATGGGGTGGGCCCACAACATTAGCCCATAACAAAGAAACAGAATTTCCGAAGGATGAGGCCCAGAAATCAGGATTTTCAAAAGATTCCTAGGTGATTCTAATGTGCAGCCAAGGTTGAGAACCACTGACCTAGACCAAGCAAACAATCTTACATGTGAATAAAGGGGAGTCAAAAGTCACCCATGTTAAATCGGAGCAGATAAAAGGTTTGGGCAAAGTTGCAAGATAAAATAAAAGCATGATAACTACGTAAACATGCTATGGCAAATGAACTAACAAAAACAAAGAAGACAAAAAGAAGCAGCATGAAGAAGATGAAGAACCCATAACCTACCGACTTGGAACTACCTCACATGTACTTCGAGTGGTAAAACTTAATAAAACTAGCTCAAAGACAAGATTATGATACAACAAAATGAGATGAAAGGTAAATTGTGGACCTAAGGAAACAAATTGAGGCCCAAAATAACATATATTCAGAACAAATAAATTAGAAATAGGGAACAGAATAGAGATAGCAATTAAATTACATAATAGAAAAGCTTTCTTCAGATAATCAGAATACAGATGAAAAAGACAAAGAGAGTGAAATCAGAAGAGCTAACTAATAAATATGGAGCTAAAATTTCTCTAGTACAATAATGAGTGCCCCTGAAATAGAGCACTCAACAAATGCAGCAGGAAAAGTATTCAAAGATATGATAAAAGCAAACTTACCTGAAATGAAGATCTGACTAGAGATAGAAAATATCCTGCTAACGGGGGGAAAAGCAGAGAATAAGATGGGATTTTATATTGTTCTCAACTTTCAAAGCAGGAAGTCAATCAATGCTATCTAAAATTGAAAAAAGAAAAGCCATAATTTCTTCCACTTAGTGCTTTTCTTAATGTCTTTTCTTATCCTTAGGGGATTCTTTTGCAAAATTTCTCTTTTGGTGAAGAAATATTTAGCATATTCTTCAGTTTTATCTTATTTCTTTTATTAAATTATAATTTAATGCTTTCATTTTAACAATAGCATCCTATTTTTGTAAAGGTATTGCTTTTACTCTACGCAAAAGGAAAAGTTGGTAGGTAGATAGTAAGCTAGGTGTCTGGAGTGATGTTAACTTAGTAGTAACGATAGTTTCTGGTTGGTGAGAATTGAGATATGTATCAGAGTCTAGTCAGGAGACAGAAACCAATTGTTTTTAACAGAATATATTTAATATCAAGTATTGTTAAGAGATACTAAACTGAAGTGGTAAAATGGGATACAAAAATTTTCTCAGAAATATCCACTGGGGGAAGCAGCTAACATTTCTAAGGCTATGGGACAAACAAAAGAGGTTGGGATTACTAAAATATATAAACACACAGGAGGGAACTAAAATTTATGGAACTAAAATTCAGATCTCTGAGAAGGGGCTGCTATTAATGCCTCTGAGCATGGAGCATGGGTCCTTTGGGCCTGAGACTCAGAACCTGGTGCTGGTGTCTGAGGAGGGCACAACAAGGCTATTTGGGATAATAAGTGATATATAAAACAATATTATTTTGTTCTAGATCGCTAGCCAGAATAGGCAATACCTTTCCACCCAGAATTCTTCCTCTGTGTCTCTCAGTAGGGTTTTTAAAATGTTTTTATTCATACTGATCTTATGCATTTTTAAAATTTTTAAACTAGTTTAGTTTTATTCCTATAAATGAAAACTCTATTTTATCTTTGTATATAAGAAAGCTCTTGATGTTTAGTTATTAATATAACATCCAGAAACCTTGCTAAATTTTATTGTCTATCATAGGTTTCACCTATGTTATTTAAGCTTCTCTAAATGGCTGCTTTTATTTTGTTATGTGGAAAACTATCTCCAACACACTGTCTCTTTATTGACAAGTACCATTTGGACTACCCTTATAAAGATATCATTACTGGTCTCCTGATTCTACCCCTATCTCATCACCAATTTATTCTTAACACAGCTGCTAGTGTAATCTTTTAAAAAAACATAAATCATATCACTTTCCTGCTCAAAATCCTTAAATGGTCAACCATTGTTCTTCAAATACAAACCAAAGTTCTTATCATAAACTATAAGGTTCTAGGTCTTAGTCTGCTTGAGCTGCCATAACAAAATACCGTAGACTGGTGGCTTAAACAACATAAATTTATTTTCTTACAGTCTGGAAGCTGGGAAATCCAAGATTAAAGTGCCAGCCAGTTCAGTTCCTGCTGAGTGCTCTCTTCTTGGCTTACAGTTGCCCACCTTCTTGCTGTATCTTCACATGGCTTGTCCTTGGTGTGTGCACCTGGGGGGATGACCTAATGTAACCCTAAGTACCTTCCAAAGGCTCCACCTCCAAAAACTACACATTGGGTTAGGGCTTCAACATATAAATTAGAGGGAACGGGGGCAGACATTCAGTCCATAACAATCTAAAATGATCTGGTCCCTGCCTATCTCTTCAAGAGGTATTCTCCATAATCCCTTAAAACACCTCTTATAAGTTTTTCAAAGACATAAAGCTCCTTTCTACTTAATAATTTTTACACATGCTGTTCTGTCTGCCTAGAGACTCTTCCTTCTGCTCTTCACATGAAAGATTTGTTATCCTTTAGGTCTCAGTTTAAATAGCCCTTTCCCAGAATCCACATATATGATCAGGTCTTCTCTATTACCTGTCAATTCATTTTTACTAACCTATTACAATTGTGTATTTGTATATGTGTATACATAATTGTATTCTTTTATCTACTTTTGTATATGTTTGGAATTCTCCATAATGTTTTTTTAATGGGAAAATTTTCATTGATAAACTTTTTTTACTCTCTTAAATTCAGTTAAGGTTTTGCCTTGGTATACCATAATTACAATTCTAGAAATGATTTGTATATAAAGACATTTATACATGGATTTTCATTCCAGAACAGCAAAGATTTGGAAGCAACCCAGATATCAGTGGGGGAGGGACCAGTTTAATGAATTATGGTATAAAATCATACTATGAAATATCCAGGTATTAGAGAATGGAGCAGTTCTATATGTAATAAGAAAACAGGTATAGTTCATTGTGTATAGCGTGCATACCATCATTTGTGTCCATATGTAACCAAAAAGATACAGGAGTGGCCCTAGCCAGTTTGCCTCAGTGGATAGAGCATCAACTTATGAACTAGGACAGTGATGACGAACCTATGACACACGTGTCAGAGGTGACACGCGAACTCATTTTTTTGGTTGATTTTTCTTTGTTAAATGGCATTTAAATATATAAAATACATATCAAAAATATAAGTCTTTGTTTTACTATGATTGCAAATATCAAAAAATTTCTATATGTGACACGGCACCAGAGTTAAGTTACGGTTTTTCAAAATTCTGACACGCCGAGCTCAAAAGGTTCGCCATCACTGAACTAGGAGGTCATGGTTTGATTCCCAGTCAGGGCACATGCCCTGGTTGTGGGGTCAATCTTAGTAGGGGCTGTGCAGGAGGCAGCCGATCAATGATTCTCTCTCATCATTGATGTTTTTATCTCTCTCTCTCCCTCTTCCTTCCTCTCTGAAATAAATGAAAATGTATTTTTTTTAAAAAGATACAGGGGTGGGCAAGAGGAGGTTTATAATTGTTCGTATGGAAAAAGATATGCAGGTTATGATTATTACAATTACAGAGGTGGGCAAGAGGAGGTTTATAATTGTTCATATGGAAAAAGATATGCAGGTTATGATTATTACAATAGCTTTATTAACTCAAAAGAATGTTACAGTAAACCTACCCTTATCTACCCCTATATTATACTGGAATTTATCTGGATTATCTTTCCAAAGATAGACCAGAATCTAGTAATAGTGGTTACCTCAGGGACAGGGAATCAGATGACTGAAGAGTCAGGATGGACACTTTCTTTTTCACTGAAAGAGTAACAAAAATACTATGGAGGTAGAGTGAATGACTGTTTCAGGCTGGAATTATGGGGAAGACTTTTCAAAGAACAAATAAAAATTTAGTATTGCTTTTATCTAACAAAAGTAGAAACTATGTAAATAGGTAATTATAATAGACTAGAGGCTTGGTGCATGAATCTTTGCACAGGTGGGGTCTGGCCAGCCCCATCCCCAATTGGGATGTGGGGAGTGATCGGGGGGTGGGGTGACAGGCGGGTCGGGGGAGGTACCACCAGCGGTTGGTTGGCCAGCCCCTCCCCCTGGTTGAACTCCTGGCTGAACTCCCCTTCAAACTCCCGGTCGAGGGGACAATTTGCATATTAGCCTTTTATTATATAGGATATTGCTATGATGTATATAAAATGATTTTACATACAAATGGAAATATTATCTAGATTTTATTTATTTTTAGGTGGTGATAGTGGACTGGATGGGTTAGGAGGACCAGGTGTACAACTAGGAAGCCCAGATAAGAAAAAAAGGAAGACAAATACACAGGTAAATTAACATTTTCTTATAATTGCAGCTTTTCTTCGCTGATATGATCAGGCTGTTGAGGTAAATTGAAATTTGGTCATGGGGCCCTGGCTGGGTTGCTCAGTTGGTTAGAGCATCGTCCTGATCTGCCTAGGTTGCAGGTGCAATCCCTGGTCAGGGCACATACATGAAGCAACCAATGAATGCATGAATGGATGGAACAACAAATAGATGTTTTTCTCTCTCTCAAATCAGGTTTTTAAAAAGTTTAAAGAAGAAAAAATTAAATTTGGTCATGGTTTTTGTTTTCTATCTTCATTCAGAAACTAATAGTGAATTCTGCAATGAATTTTTTTTCTCTGCAGCTAATGGCTATTGCAGAATTATAGGCCTAGAGCAGCCGTGGGCAAACTACGGCCCGCGGGCCGGATCCGGCCCGTTTGAAATGAATAAAACTAAAAAAAAAAAAAAGACCGTACCCTTTTATGTAATGATGTTTACTTTGAATTTATATTAGTTCACACAAACACTCCATCCATGCTTTTGTTCCGGCCCTCCGGTCCAGTTTAAGAACCCATTGTGGCCCTCGAGTCAAAAAGTTTGCCCACCCCTGGCCTAGAGTGTATATTGCAAGCGGGAAATGTAGGCAGAAAAATTAAAATGCTTATTCTTAAGTCTAATTTTAAAGATATAGATGTCCATAGTTCTATTACAAGACATATATGGAGACAAGTTTAACCTGAAGTAACAATGTTCAACTATTATAATAATTCAGTAGCATGTGTGTATCATGAAGTAATCACGGTGGAGATATCTTTTGTCTATAACGTGTGGTTGTAATAAGCAATAAAGGCTTTGCAGGGTTTATTCTCTATAAATTTGAAGCATTCTTTTTATGATAAAGACTGTGAATAAGGATAATATATGTACAGATGACTTTTTTCTATTTTGGCCACCATCTTTTAACCTTGTAGTGTGACTAAAACTGGTACTTTATTTTTCTCTATTCTGCGGCCTAGAGCTTTGGGGATAAGTTAATAGCTATTTCTTAAAGTTAAGCTAGAAAAATATTTAGATTCTGTTTATTATTTAATTTTATGGTTATTTAGGGGTATAAGAGGTATTTTTAGTTAGAATTTTAAGTGAAAGATTCTAGAGCAGTGATGGCGAACCTATGACACGCGTGTCAGAGGTGACACGCGAACTCATTTTTTTGGTTGATTTTTCTTTGTTAAATGGCATTTAAATATATAAAATAAATATCAAAAATATAAGTCTTTGTTTTACTATGGTTGCAAATATCAAAAAATTTCTATATATGACACGGCACCAGAGTTAAGTTAGGGTTTTTCAAAATGCTGACACGCCAAGCTCAAAAGGTTCGCCATCACTGTTCTAGAGTTATAGGCAAGTATGTTAAGTGAAAATTATGGTAATGAATCTTCTTTTAAAAGTTAAATACTTTTGGAGTTTGAAGTAACAATGGATTCATGCTCAGAAAAGCATTACTTCCTTTTCTAAATGAAAGAAGCCTATACATTTTATTATTAAATATAATTACATATAAATATTTGGAATTTACAAATGAAGAATTAAATATTCATAACACTGTAAACGAAACTTTACCAAAACTAAGTTCATAAGTGTTAAGATTTTATAACAGGATGATTTTAATGACTGCTTTGATCAAAAACATGTATTTTACTTAACATTCTCATTTTAGGGGCCTTCTTTTCCTCCATTGTCTGAGTATGCTCCGCCACCGAATCCAAACTCTGACCATCTAGTGGCTGCTAATCCATTTGATGACAACTATAATACTATTTCCTATAAACCACTACCTTCATCAAATCCATATCTTGGCCCTGGGTATCCTGGTTTTGGAGGCTACAGCACATTCAGAATGCCACCTCACGTTCCTCCAAGAATGTCTTCCCCATACTGTGCTCCTTACTCGCTCAGGAATCAACCACACCCATTTCCTCAGAATCCTCTGGGCCTGGGTTTTAATCGACCTCACGCTTTTAACTTTGGGCCACATGATAATTCAAATTTTGGAAATCCATCTTATAATAATGCACTAAGTCAGAATGTTAATATGCCTAATCAACATTTTAGACAAAATCCTGCTGAAAACTTCAACCAGATTCCTCCACAGAACGCTGGCCAGGTATCTAATCCTGACATGGCATCTAACTTTATGCCTGGAAATAATTCAAATTTTGCTTCTCCATTAGAATCTAATCATTCTTTTATTCCTCCCCCAAATACTTTTGGTCAAGCAAAAGCACCACCCCCAAAACAAGATTTTAATCAAGGATCAACCAAAAGCACTAATCAAAATTCCTCTGCTCAACCACCTCACTTAAATATGGATGACACGGTGAATCAGAGTAATATTGAATTAAAAAATGTTAATCGAAACAATGCAGTAAATCAAGAAAATAGCCGTTCAAGTAGCGCTGAAGCTACAAACAACAGCCATGCGAATGGGACACAGAATAAGCCACGACAACCTAGAGGTGCAACAGACACATGCACCACTGAAAAAAGCAATAAATCTTCTCTTCACCCAAGCCGTCGTGGTCATTCTTCTTCCGACCCAGTGTATCCTTGTGGAATTTGTACAAATGAAGTGAATGATGATCAGGATGCCATCTTATGTGAAGCCTCTTGTCAGAAATGGTTTCATCGGATCTGCACTGGAATGACTGAAACGGCTTATGGCCTGCTAACTGCAGAAGCATCAGCAGTATGGGGCTGTGATACCTGTATGGCTGATAAAGATGTCCAATTAATGCGCACTAGAGAAACGTTTGGTCCACCTGCAGTGGGCAGTGATGCTTAATCACAGGCATTAACTAAAATGGGGGTTTTTCCCTGTGTGTTACAGAGGTTCATTGACACAGGATTTTAATGTTTTACAATATTTTTTTTAAATGCACATGCAAAAAAGATGATTTACCTTTTAGTTTTTATTAATACTCCACTTCATTACTAGTGCAAATTTTGTATTATCTAAGTTTGCTATCTAGGATAATATATATGGGGGTACTTTAGAAAGTATTTTACAAATAAATGTTAGTTGTTGTTAATCATAAAAGCCTCTTGAAGCTTCAAAATAATATGTAGCAAATGTAGGCAAGTTTTGACTTAAAAGTTAGAACCAGTGAAAAGTGTACATTTCAGTGCTGAACTTTGGCAATATCACATTAAACATTTAGTTCAAAAATATTTTTGAGGATCCATTTAACGTGGTGTTTTAAATATATATTTTTATTTATTTCAGAGAGGGAGAGAGATAGAAACATCAATGATGAGAAAGAATCATTGATCAGCTGCTTTCTGCATGCCCCCTGCTAGGGATCGAGCCCACAACCTGGGCATGTGCCCTGACCAGGAATTGAACTAGTTCATAGGTCGATGCTCAACCACTGAGCCACACCGGCCGGGCATCCATGTAATGTGTTTTCAGAAAAAATAATATGTGTAGCTATATTAAGGAAGAAAGCATACATTTAATGGATGTTTTTAAAAATAATAGCATATGACACCTGATTCCTCCCTAACTAGAGTTCTTGAAACTAGTGACTTTCATGTTTCAAGTCAGTCTCTTCAGGATATGATTGTACAGATATGAGACATATGTTAGCATATAGAAGATGCTCAGTAAGTATTTGTGGATTAACTTGTAGATTGTACCACATGAAACTGCTATTATTCGATCACTTGAACATTGACTTCAGTTACTAGAGTTGATATAATGTTTGTTTTTAGTTGTGGCATTTAGAATTGTAACAGTATTATGCTTTTCTCTCTTCCATTTTTTTTATTATTGGTTGTTACTGTTTTCCAGAGAAATAAATAATATGGTATCCTCAGGAGAATTGTGAATACTTTTTAACACATGATTTCAAACTGAGACATATTGCAAATAAAAGTGGTAGAAACATAAATTTGGCATTAGAGCACTCTGCTGGCAGAAGACATATTCATTGATTGTTTGAAAAATCTTGTTCTGGGGATCTGAATTCAAAATGGTGCCTCAAGGGAGATCAAAATCCATTTTAAGCAAAGATCAATTAAGAGCCACGGTGAAAGCTAATTTACAAACAACAATTCAAGTCCTTGCAAGAGACAGTCTTTGCTATGACTTGGGAAAGTGTAAAATGGACCTGAGAGTATCCTCTTGAAAGATGATACAGAATGGAGACAGTTGGAGGTCTACTCATTAAGATTCAGCAGAAACCCAGTTTGGGAATGGAACATAACCTGTGACCAGAGAAAGAAAAAAAGGATACTGTGACAATTGATAGTAATTTATACAATGGTTGGGTGTTGGTGAGGCTCCCAAACTTGCGTCATCACCAAAAAAAATTCTGAAGACCATATGGTGACGTGAAAGGAATACTGAATTACTACTATTTAAACCCTGGTGAAACGACAGCAGCAGCATATTGCCAAGAAATTAAAATTAGGCCTGAAAAATCTGATTTAAAAATGATCCTGTGGTTAATAAACATGAACCCACACTTTTATGTGACTGCACTTGACCTCATGTGTCAAAAGCTACTAAAGCAAAGTTAGCTGAATTGGGCTAGTCTATCACATCCATCTTAGTCACCAGGCTTTTATACAATGAACTACCATCTTTTTCATCATTTGGAGCTTTTTCTAAGAAATAACATATTTTCCAATTGAGAAGAAGGAATTGGAGAATTTGGACATTTTAAACAGCCTAACAAATGGTGACTTTTATAAAAATGAAATGTTTAATATCCTATTAGAAGAAAATTATTAATTCTCATGGTGCATATTTTGATTGAATAAAATTTATTTTTATATACAGTATTTAAATTTTGACCTATAAAAACAGCAGTTTCATATGGTACAAGGTAATGTAAGTTTTTCTCCATTTACCTGTGACTAGTTTGAAGTGAATACAAAATATTTTCAGTAGTTGTAAAATAACATATCTTTACAGTTTTAGGAAATGAAATAGACTCTAATAATAGGTACTACTTTGTGTGAAAACTTGACCAGTTGAAACAGTCAAGTTGAAATGCAGTATTTTTGGCTGACTGAGATTTGATGTGTTCAGTAGCATACTTGAAGATCCCAGTGTGCTTACACTGTAGCTTTTGTTAGAGATAGAAATTTTTCTAAATATTTAAGGACTTAATTATGTTGTTCTTGAAATCCTAGTGAGTGCTGATTTTAAGACATGATGCACTGCATGCTATATGCTCAGTACTAGCATCCGGTCATGATTTTCTTTATGACTGAATGCAGTTAGATATTTATAGAACCTTCCAATGTTTGCAGGAATTAACACTTACATGGTAGTACTTGAGTTGTGCTCATTGCTAAAACTGATTATGCAGTCTTAACCCTCTGTTGCTTACAGTTTCAATAGTTAGTTGTTTTGTAAAAATGAAGCCACCTCTCCCTAGTTAGCCAAAAGGTACTTGATTTGTAATGCAATTATTTCATTATCCATTTCCAAGTAGTTGTCTTTAAAATCTTACAAGTGGATTTTTCTTCAGGTATTTAGGTCTTCAGAGTACCTTATTTAAATAAGAATCTGTAATTATTAAAAAGAAAAACCAGTGGTTGATTCTGACAGTGAATCATAGGCAAACTATAATCATAGCTGATGAATGTTTTCATGTATTTGCATTAATTTTCTTACGAGTTCTACCTTTGTCTCTACATAATACTAAGTCAAAAATTATCTAGATACTTTTTGGTAGGAAAAGTGATGAACTATAAGAATGGCCAGATAGTAATTTGTCCAATTTGACCCAAAGAAGGCTGTTACACAAATTGGTGTGGCTTTTTTAGGACAAGCGATGAGCTGCCCTAAACATTTAAAAATATTCAGTGACGGAAAGAAATGTACATAGGTGAAATATTCTTCCTGTAGCATTGCACATTTTTGTTGTAATTATTTTCCTTCACTTAAAGGCCTCATTACCATCACACACGCGCACACACACGCACATACGCGCACACGCGGGCAGAAAATCTTGGAGGTTCTCCTACATTCTCGTTTGCCAAAGTTCAACCTGGCTAACCAGCAACAGTTAGGCTCTCCCCCCAAGGCTAGGTTACTGATAGAAAGTTCTAAAGCATCATCAGTTCCTTTCTGATAATTTGCTTTGTTAATTTCACTAGCCTTCCTGTGCACTTGCTTCTAGATGCTACTGGACTAATACTGAAACAGCTTAGCTTATAAAAGAAAAATAATTCTTCAGATAGAGTGCTTAGAATTTAGATTTGTGATCAGTGCTTTCCTTTTGTGTGAAATACTTTAGAGTATTGCTATTATGATTCTTGTTATCCAAATTAGGAGATGATGTATATAACTGAAGATTTTCTTGTAATAGTGCTTATTCATAAATTAACACAATATAAAGAAATCCAATTTTGGGGTGTTTTGGGATTTTATTTGTTTTGTTTTATTTTTTTTAGACTCTGACTAGTGATAGGAGAAAAAACTCAGTAGTATGGGTCACCATTAAATCTGCCAGCTTTAGTCATCCAAATAAGTATCAGGAGTCTTTATCCAATATTCTTTCCAACTTGTTCATCTTAAACAAATTAAGAGTGCTAGTACTTATTGTCCAACGTACTATAATGATTGTATTTAGTTGTAAAAATATATATAAACAATGAAAAGGGAGCTCTAATTAGTTTTTGGGTTTTTTGCAGTGCATAGAGGTCTCAGATGCATGAACATTTAGGCTATTTTAGATTTTTTTAATTAAAAAATTTAAAAGTATTGAGGCTCCCAAAGTTTATTTGAAAATAGTGGTTTAGAACTCTCTATGAGATAATTAGATTCTTAGGGAAGCTCGTAAAGGCTTATTAAAGCATGATGTAGTTAACCAGTAGTATCATGCTGCGCACTCAGCTTCTTTAGGGAACCAATCGGTATAGGTGGGAAAAAGAAGCAGAGGTCTTTCCTTTTTCCTGATGTGATTCAGGAAGGTTAAGTTCTTTGATGTGTTTCCCAGTTGTCCTCTTACTATCCTACACTCTCTGGTGGGATGCTATAGAAGCCAACTTGCCTTTGCCCTTCCTGGATGCTCTGTGCTTCAGAATTTCGTATCTTTCCTCCAATCAGAATTCCCATTTCTTTGTGCGGCTGTGGTTGACTAGATTTTAAGGGAAAGGTGTTTTCTACCAGGATGTGTGAATGAAGATCATGAAGAAAGTGGAATTAAATTTCTTTTTTTTAAAGGGTGTTTATTCGGAATGAATCTTTATCTAATATCAAAGGTTTCAAACAAAATGATCACATTTCAGGCACCATAGAAAGCAGTATTTTTGTCGAATTGGTGATACTTTCTTGAGAATATTTCCCAATTTCCTTTAGATTGTTGGGATTTAAAAAGTTTCCTTTCTTCTACTTCTCTGAACTCAGAAGTTTTCTTCCCATTTGTAAATATTAGAATATCACCTTTTTCTGTATTCCATTTAACCAACAGAGCAGTATGGAAGTCACACCTGCATTTTTCTGACTCTTGGTACAGTGATGGGAGTTTAGAGGCACCCTTTGAGTACAGAGGCTAGGGATGGCATTAACATCTCCCAAGACATGTCGTCTAAGGGAAATGAAGGGAAGAAAGTGGCTATCTATACGCCAGACATTAATACATCAAAAACTGCCTGTATTTCATTGAAAATTTTTCATGAAGTCCAATGGATAAGTGTCATCTTTGTCATAGTTTGTCAAATTACTTGCAATTATATTAAAATGTATTCTAAATACCTGTACTTTCTTGTTCTGTAGATGATGTAGATGATGTTGCTTGTTAGTTAAAATATCTTATAAAAGAAAGTCCTGCTTCTTATCATGATGTATGTGACTTAAATGACTGTTTCATATTAAAACTATTTCTTCCTTATGTACTGTTTACATATACCTCTTTTTGGGATATTAGTTCAGTACTTTTATACAAATCTGAGTGTGTTCCACATTGGTGACATGTATTTTTGCAGTAATTTTTTGTTTTGTTCATAGAGCATGTCTAAAGTAACACATGCACTAGTGCTGTGGTCTGTTGCAAAATTACTGTAATTCAAATTGGAAAATAAAATGTTTCCAGACTTTGTCCAACATTTATTCCTATGGCAAAGGAAATTACTATGTAATACTATTTCTTATGCTGTTATGTTTAAGCTACTCTATGAAGTATGTGAAACATCAATATTTATGGAATAGTAGATGGCCTGATATCTTTGAAATAGGAGAGAGAGATAAAATTTGAT